TACCCATTTGATATGACGGCATCGATCCAACAGGTATGTAGTATATTAACAATATACTTTGAATATGTGTCAATACATTAAATAATGATGACTGATAAGAAAACCATCCAGCTCCATAGAATTTCTGTTAACAAGATATCTGATTACATAGCATATTTTTCTTGAATATATGTGTGAAAGGAAGTATGAAAGGAAAAAAGCTATTTTCACCTCGCTCTGGAAACTGAATAAGTTTTACACGCTTTAAAATAATAAGTTAATTTTTTCACCATATAAAGTACGAAGTAAATTATTCTACGATAGATATTAACTTCTATAGTGCGAAATAATTATGCGATAGGCTATGCGAATTAAAGATGAAAATAATTGATAAAGTGCAAAACAATTATGCGTTCATTAAGCGACAGACAGGGAAAATAACTGATAAAGTGCGAAAGTGGAATTACTATGCGAAAAACAAGCGAAGATAATTGATAAAATATAAAATAGTTATGCCATAAACTATGCCGCAATACAAGCAATTAAACATAATTGAAAAAGTACGAATCAGTTATGCAATATAATAAGCGGAAGACATGCGAAAATAATTGATGCGTAAAGCGATGCGACAAACAGGCGAAAATAAATAAGAAAGTGCGAAACAATTAGGCAATATAGTATGCAACAAAACAAACAAAGATAATTGATAAAGTGCGAAATAGTTATGCGATTACCTATGCGACAGAACACGCGAACCTCGTCAAAATGAACCTCGCCAGAGACACCATAGCCGCTAGCCGGGTCCTCGCCTTCTGCGCCACTTCATCGGCGGCGGCCTGCCGCGACCTGTGTGCGTACGAGCTCTTCTCCCACATGGAAAAAAAAAAACGAATCTTTTCGCTTGGAACACCATCATCAGGGGCTTTTGAGTGAGCTCGGACCCTTAGATGGCAATTTTCCTGTTCGTTGAAATGCTGCTGACGTCAGATGATGTGCTGCCCGAAAGGCTCACTTACCCATCGGTTTTCAAGGCCTACACTCGGCTCGGGCTTGCCGTATTCGGGACACAGCTTCACGGGATAATCATCAAGCTGGGACTCGAATCGGACCCGTTTATTCGGAATACAATACTTCACATGTACGCGGATTGCGGGCTTTTGTGTGAAGCCTGAAAACTATTTGATTCTATGGTGCAGGACAAATATTGATCGAAGTTTTTGGAAATGAGTTGGTACTTGGTAGTGGCTAATGTGTTTAGCTTAGTATGTGTTGATGACGGTCTTCAACTTTATATGTGAAAAAAGTATGTAGGGGTTTTTGTGATATCCATTGGCACTTGTAAGTTCAAGAAGATAGCATCTTTGGACAGAATAATTTCCAACACATAGCATGGCAAATAATTTGACAAGTTTTGAAAATTATCTCAGCAAATTTGTCTGATAAGATATTCACGAATGAGTTTCTCATCAGTATTATTCCACATCATCATTTTTATTTTTTCCATATCTAATTAAGCAAATCCAAGGAACTATGCAAATTGGAGAAGTTGAAAACAGTTCACATTGTACTTTGGGTACACATTTCAAACACTTGTACACAGCACACACTCTCAATTCAATGTTCTTGCAGACTACAAACCAGCGAACACTGGGCGATCGCCTTTCCTCTATGGTTCATGTACGACAAGTTTATGTCGACGAGCTTAATGTCCTTTACAAGATATTATAATACATTGTAATCCCGAATCAGCATGGCAAGATATTACTTTTACACCGCCGAATCAGCACCGGCGAGATGTAATTATCAGCACCGACGAGATTTTTTTGCAGGAGACCAGAGATTGGTGGGATGGAGTTTGTGAATGGGGGATTTGGAAAGCTAGAAACAAGTGGGTCTTAGGGAATAATTGGATGATGCCCTATCAAATCATTACAGAAGTTTGGACAAAATGGTTGGAAGTCAAAACAGTGGGAGATGAAGAAAATAAACAGGAGAGGAATGAAAATGGTGTTGAATAGAGTAGCAGAACACATAGGACAAAAGATAACTCTGAAAACAATAAGACGGAGGTTGAGGTAGAATGGAATCTCATATCTGTCAGTGCCAAAAACTAATGTTTTTTTATATATAGTTATAAGTAATAAAATAGTATATATATAATTATTAAATTTCTAAAATCAAATACATGATTTCAAAGACCCGAAAGCTGAAATTCAACTAAAGCATTTGCAAATCGACTGAAGTTCAAGTATCACAAAACCTAAACCCCCTAAAGAAATTCACATACTTGTGTCACTGTAGCACAAAACCCATCACTAAGCATAATGAAAAAAGGAGAGTTTATCAAGATCAGTCTTCATATTATCAAGTCAGACAGGCAGCAAAGGATTCACAACTTGGCCAACAAAGAGCACAACACCACTGGTCTCCTCCCTTATTACAAAGAGGAAAGGATGGTCAGCTACAAAGTCAAACACGTCCACGGGCCTGCTGTACATCGAACTTCCAACCATGCCGACATAAGAAACTGCCGCAGCCTCCGTGCCCTTTTCGTCCACCTCTACGTATGCCTTATGAATAAAGAGCGAGATTTCGAGTGGATTATCCGGGTCAGAGTAAACCATCTCGGTCAAACCACCGTGAAAAGGGAGAACCAATCCTTGACTTTTAAAAAACTCCGAAGCCTCAAAGTCGAAGCTTATTTTAAACTTGGGGAGGCGAAAATCCCCCATTTTCACTCTTTTACGTGGCGTGTGGTGCTCTATGAACCCAGAAATCGAGCCGAATTTCTCGACGAGCGCCTGCAAGCCATCCCTGGCATCGGGAAGAAAGAAGTACATGGAGAATGCCCGCGTGTCCTGACCCTTTTTGTACGGTAGCTTTAGAACCTTAAAATCATCAAAGGCGAGCGCAAATTGGTCCTTGGAGCTGGTCATGAAGGGCACACGGACCGAACTCCCATTCAAGAGGAAGAAGTCGTGGACTTTGGTTCGAGACGGGTCGAATTTTGAATCCCAGGCTCCTTTGAAGTAGAGTGCATTTGCAATGACGAGCTTAGTCATCCTAGTGACTGAGTTGGGTGGGAGCAGATTCTTTATCAGACCATTTGTTTTCTCCTCGGCCCAAGCATTCACTGCTTCTCTTACCACGTTAGACTGAAAAGTTTCAGAGAAAATCAAATTGATGAAAGAGTTGGCACATAAATTAGAGGTGAGAATTGCTGGCACGAATCAGAAACACAAAACCAAACGACAAGGTGAGCACAATACAAGACGGCACTACCAGAAACAGTATAGTGACACATGATTGCAGCACGAATAGTCAAACTAACAGATTATGATGAAATCAACTGTACTATCGCTAATCGCAAATCCTCAATCCAATTGGTGTGAAGTTACGAAACCTAACCTGATTCCGAAAATCGGCATGACCTACTGCGCTCCGATAAGCATTCTCGACGACTTCATTGAAATCGGGCTTCAGGACAAGGCTGCGTTCGACCCAAACCCCGTTGGCGAAGGAAAGGAGAGGGCCGCCGAGTGGCCCGCCGTCGGCTAGGAGGCAGGTGGAGATCTGCGACGATAGGGAATTGAGCTCCTGGATCGAATCGAACATGAGGAAGCGCAGGAGCTGTTCGAGGGCAGGGAGGCCCGACCCGACCGCGACCATGGCCAGCACGACGTGAACTGAGAGGGGCGAGAACACGAAGTTGTTGTCCTTGACGTGGGTGGAGATGAGTTGCTTCGTGAGCCACGAGGAGAAGTCGGTTTGGACGGCGATTGACTGCCGGAAGTCCATTGTTAGTCTCTGAAAGTAATCCTTTGGCGTGAGGCCTGAAACAATAATTCGGATGCCCAGTTAATTCAACCAGTGTTTAATAAGCTCAAAATTAAATAAAAATAAACGATTATAGAATGAAATAACATATTTATAGAATGAAATAACTATCATATCTTTTGGAAAAAATGAAAATATACATTTGTGTTAGGAAAGTATAATATTTGTATAAAGTGTTAAAGATATAATTATAAAAGTAGGGTAATTCTAATTAACAAAATCAAGGATAATATTCATTTCTCTAACTTTTAATTTTAATACTTTTTATTATTTATTTATATAGTGCATGTGATTTGCTCAACTAATTTTTCTTATATTTGTACAAATATTTATTTTTAATGATCCGGTGTATCCTACACGAGTGTCATCTACCTATTTATATATAAATATAATAACGATGCGCTGGAGTTGCTCTTAATGACTTTAAACAAAAGCTAAATGCTCATTAAAAATTTTGATTTTACTAAATATAAAAGTTACAAATAATTTGAATTTCAAACTTTTGAATCTCATATAAATTATGGATAGAATCCTTTAAAAATATCTCAAAATATGTTGTATAAACGAATTTATAGGAATAAAATCCTCAATGATGTTACGAACATACCTTATTTTTTTCTTTCAAAACCTACAAATAAAACTTTCTAAAACATTGAGATAAAACATTTTTCGAATATTTAGTTGATATCTTCAGTGATCATCTAAAAGAAATGAGATGAAAGTTCAAGTTGACAGGTATTTTACTTGTCTATAGTTACTCATCTTTAATTTTTTTTTTAAAAGAGATGAGGTCAATTAAAAAAAAATATCTATTCAATCCATTTAATTATGTTTTTTTAAAAATCATGCTTTTGATATAAAAAAATATATTATTTATAATATATTTTTAGATCATTGGAATTAATAATATCGTCAAAAGCTCCCCGGGGTACAATCTACTGGTAGCACGACTGGTGTTGAGCCTGAATTCTCTGCGTACAGAATCCTAGAAAGAGGGAACTCTAGGCAATTTTTTCCTTTTGGGGAGAAAAGAGGACATGCTGGTAATCACCTCTATGACGTTAGACCTTTTGGGGCGCTAGGGTATAAAGTGGGATGGTACGCTGACAACAGGACACATCCCGTGGTTTACCTCCTAGAGTAGCCCAGGGGTTAGCTACAAGATCCAGGATTGATAGGTGCAGTGCGTAAACATGGAACTTGAGTAAAAAAAAAAAAAAAATCGTCAAACATGATTTAAATAAATTTAAGTACGAGATAATGAGTATAAATCCTAGATAATACTTATATTCTGAATACAAACTCCAACATATCATTATGATTTAAATTTAAAAATGTACGCCATCCATGATTTAAATTTATATGTGAGTTAGATATTTAATTTGAATATATACACATATACACTAGTGCATATTCCGTGCGATGCACAGATGAGTTCATATTTTAAACATTTTTTTTGGACTTTATTTCAAATATAATTGTTATATTTTTCACATCTTATCTTATTATGAAAATAAAATAATTACAAACAATGAAAAACGTATATTATTAAACACTTCTCATCACACAATATTTTTTTATTTAAGTTATATTATTAAACTTTGCAGTTTTGATTTTTTTATTTTTTTTAAAATCAATTATTCAATCTATGATTGTTTAAAACACTTTTATATCCCGATTCCAATATATACTTCATACCAATTTATTCAACGATCAACCATTAGTCAAATTACTGATCAAATATAAGAGAAATCTAAATACTATCCTATATCATCTTTTTTCTTTCTTGTTAAATTTTTTATCAAACAATTAATAGAAAATCCTATTCCCATCATATATTTAATTATTATAAAGCCAAATTCAATCTAACGAAAGTATCAATTTTAAATTATTATAAAATCAAATTCAATATAATTAAAGTAATAAATTAGAAAATATAACATTTGAAATTGGGTAGAAAATCTCAATTTACGTCATCCCATCAGAAGTTAATAAACATATCGATTTTGTAGATTATGAATAACACCATTAACACAAACAAAACAACGAAACACGATAATCTGTAAGCACCAAAAAATACACAACCTAGAAAATTGGTTCATAACAAAAACATTAAAAGTTCATTTTCTTAATTCCTCCAGCTCCTATCATCTGAACCGCTGCCACCCCTCAAATACCCCGAATAAATATATAACATCATGCGAACATCCAAGTTGTAAGGTAAGTAAGTAAACTACCTTAAAAAAGGATTTAACATGACAACTTAAACCTACGTTGCCACGATATTGTTCTATGGAAGAAAGCGATCTGTTTAGAAGCTCGACCCTCTTTCTTTTTGGTGTCGTAACGGTCGCTGTCATAACGGCCGCCGTCGTAGCACCTCCACCATTCCCGCCACTGCCTTCACTTCGGCCTCCCTGGCCACCGCCGTTTCCCTCACCATACCCACAGCCTCCGCCATCACGACGCAACCCACCTCGAATCCCACCACCGTTGCCACCTTGTGACTGAGCCTTGTTCACGGTGATATTCCAACCGTCGAGCTCTTGGGATGGAAAAAGAAATAAGGGTAGAAGAAAATGATAAAGAGGAAAAGAATATGGCGATGTCTGGGAAGAGGAAGTCATTAATATAAAAATTGGTAGATAGGTACATTTATGGTGAACCTTTGAATATCAAATAACCAAATATAATTTATATCACACAAGAAAAAGATAAATAGTAAATGTTCATTAATATATTTAAAAATGTAATTTTAAATTTCAATTAAAATAATGACAGGATAATTCAAATTATTTTTGACAAAGTTTCTAAAATGTTTAATATTTTGGTAAGTATATCCGTAAGAATAAACGTACCATTATAATTTCAAAAAATTTGGCAAGTTTGTGAATGAGATAAATAACGTTACATAAATGATTAATTAGTAAAAATATTATATTAATTATATTTTAAGAAATACGATTTAAATGTGGATAAAAAATATTATATTAATTAGTTTGTTAGGAATGTGATTATATGGAAGTTAAGATAAAATGAATATCACCAAAATAATATGTTTGTGATCTTTACCTTTAAATGTTTAAATTTAAAAAATCTAAGAACCAAATTTAGATTATATAAGATAAATAAAAAATAAATAATAAATGTTTATTAACATATTTAAGATATAATTTCGAATTTCAAATAAAGTAAAAAGCGAGATAATTCAATTTTGTTTTCAAAATTTTTTTAAAGTGTTGAATATTCTGGTAAGTATACCCGTAAGAATAATCTTGCCATGTTACTTAAAAAAATTTGGCAAGGTTGTTAATGAGATAAATCCGGTTAGAGAAAATATTAATTAGTTAAAATATTATATTAAATATATTTTTTAGGAATGTTATTATATAAAAATTAAAATAAAATAAAATTTAACTAAAAGATCTGTTTTGGATCTTTTTTTTAAATGTTCAAATTTAAAAATCTAAGAACCAAATTTAGATTATATCACATAAGAAAAAAATAAATTAGTAATTAATAGTCGCGCATTGTTAGGGATAACATAACGCAAGTTACATGAACCGAGCTTTTCTGTTTGTGGCTTAGATCGGTCTATTTTCCTAAATTTTAATGCAACTAGTGAATTGAATTAGTTAGATTTAATTGAAAAACATATTTCAATTAAGTAAAATTAAGAAAAAATTCGGGTGGTAGTGCTTAATGCTATCTAGGACCGGTAGTTTTAGAAAACGAATGAGATTTGATAAGTGCATTAATTAGACTAGTTAATCGAGGGTGTAAACTGACCTGGGACCGATTCATTCTCATATTTGTTACATTATTTGTTTATTTTCGGCTTCATCATCCTTTGCGTCTAAATCATTCATTTTTTGTTTTGGTTTAATTGCTTGTTTCGCTAGTAGTTTCATTTTAAATCAAACACTCCATTTTACTTTAATATAACTAATACAAAATAATCACGGTATATACCACTCTTCGTGGGATCGACCATTGCTCGCCACTGCTATTAGTTGAAAAAATTATAAATCTAAATTTGATGCATTGCGACGCTCGGTGACTACATTATTTATCTCAGTCTTTTTATGTATATTTATATAAAATAAAATAATATACATATAATTATTAAATTTCTACAATTAAATACATGATTTCAAAGACCCGAAAGCTGAAATTCAACTAAAGCATTTGCAAATCAACTGAAGGTTCAAAATGCAATCACCACATAACCTAAAAGAAATTCACAACCTCGTGTCACTATAGCATAAAACCCATAACTAAGCATAATGAAAAAAGCAGAGTCTACCATGATCAGGCTTCATATTATGAAGTCAGACAGACAGCAGAGGATTCACAACTTGCCCAACAAAGAACACACCACCACTGGTCTCCTCCCTTATTACAAAGAGGAAAGGATGGTCAGCTACAAAGTCAAACACGTCCACACGCCTATGCCTGTACCTCGAAGAGCTACCACGTCCCCCGCCTGCCGAAACTGCTGCAGCCTCCGTGCCCTTTTCGTCCACCTCTACGTATGCCTTATGAAAAAAGAACGAGATTTCGAGTGAAGGATTATCCGGGGAAGGGTAAACCATCTCGGTCAAACCACCGAGAAAAGGGAGAACCAATCCTTGCTTTTTAAAAAACTCCGAAGCCTCAAAAGCAAAGCTTATTTTAAACTTGGGGAGACGAAAATCCCCCATTTGCACTCTTTGACGTGGCGTGTGGTGCTCTATGAACCCAGAAATCGAGCCGAATTTCTCAACGAGCGCCCGCAAGCCATCCCTGGCATTGGGAAGAAAGAAGTACATGGAGAAATCCCGCGTGTCCGGACCCTCTTGATACAGTAGCTTCAAAACCTTAAAATCGTCAAAGGCGACCGCAAATTGGTCCTTCGAGCTGCTCATGAAGGGGACACGGACTGAACTTCCGTTCAAGAGGAAAAAGTTGCGGACTTGGGTTAGAGACGGGTTGAATTTTGAAGCCCAGACTCCTTTGAAGTAGAGTGCATTTGCAAGGATGAGCATAGTCATACTAGTGACTGAGCCGGGTGGGAGCAGATTTTTTATCACACCATTTGTTTTCTCCTCGGCCCAAGCATTCACTGCTTCTCTTGCCGCATTAAACTGAAAAAGGTTTCAAAGAAAATCAAATTAATCAAAGAGTTGACAACTGCTGGCACGATTGGGAAACACAAAGACAAACGGCACTGCCAGAAACATGGTGACACATGATTGCGGCAAGATTTGTCAAACTAAACACAGAATATGATGATGAAATCAACTGTAATATCGTTAATCGCAAATCCTAAATCCAATTGGTGCGAAGTTACGAAACCTAACCTGATTACGAAAATCCACATGACCTACTGCGCTCCCATAAGCATTCTCGATGGTTTCTTTGAAAGCCGGCTTCAGGGCAAGGCTGCGTTCGACCCAAATCCCGTTGGCGATGGACAGGAAAGGGCCGCCGAGCGGCCCGCCTCCGGCTAGCAGCCAGGTGGAGATCTGGGACGATATGGAATTGAGCTCCTCGATCGAATCGAATATGAGGTAGCGCAGGAGCTGTTCACGGGCAGGGCGACCCGACCCGACCGCGACCATGGCCAGCACGACGTGAATTGAGAGGGGCGAGAATACGAAGTTGTTGTCCTTGACGTGGGTGGAGATGAGTTGCTTCGTGAGCCGCGAGGAGAAGTCGGTTTGAGCGGCGATTGACTGCCGGAGGTCCATTGTTAGTTTCTCAAACTAATTGGCAGAAACGTATGTTTTATTCCAATCAAAATAACTAAACGAGTCATTTAAATAGAACTCACAAAGACCTAAATAAATAACTTGACTGGCAAGACAAAAACTAAAGAAATAAATATAGTGCAAGATAAATAAATATTTTCTTACCAAAGGTATAATGCAAATATTAATAATAAAGGAAATAAATAATTAAATCTATTACTATATAATATAGTTAAGAAATTTTTTTGAAAAAATACGTAAAATTAATTTCATCCCGCTCAAATGTTTAATTTTCCCCTCAAATTTTATTTGAAATATTTGGCTAATATGGTAATAGATAGATTTTATCATTCCACTTCCTTTTTTTTAGCAAATCCGATTCCTTTTTTTATGGAAGCGACTATGTATATCTATATTTTAAGATGGAACAAATTTTTGTTAACCAATCAAATATATCGGATTGTACATAAGACAAATAATACACTAAAGTACCGTTTCATTTTTAACCATTTTCTGAGCCTGGGAGAGAAGGTAAGTCTAATAATAGTTACTACCTTACATTCTTACAAATGTTGAATGTTATTTCGTCTCATATTTTGATTATTCAAGAAGTACTTGAATTTCTTTTACAGGACATCATAGGCAAAACGAATGTGGAGATTTTCTCGTTGCGCGTTAATTTTTTCCAAGTGACGAGGGTGCACGCGACTAGGTGGTTCCGAAAATAAGGAACATGGCTTCTAATGGTGGTTGGACGCGGCTGACGGCCGGACAAGGCGTCAGTCGCGCAAAAGCTGCTGGCCGGAGGAGCCGCTGGTTGTGAGGACTGAGGGTAGGTTGGCCGTTTTGGGTGCGCACGAAGAGTTTGGGCGGCGGGATGGCTGTTAATGATGGCTGGACGCGATGGAGTGATGTGCTCCGACATCTGAAGATTGGCCGGAGAAAAAAAATCTCCACGACGGGTGAAGCTACATGGATTTGTTGGAAAATAAAACCAGAACTCCATGCCCTGCTGTTGAGCACGGCTAAGCGAGAGAAAATGACGGGACTCAAGGGTGCTGCTCAATTTTTTCGGCTGAATTTTTAGGAAGATTTTGCTCGCTCATTGGCCAGAATTTTGGGGAAGAAGACATGTGATTTTCGAGAAGAAATCTGCTACAATTTTTTAGAGGAAAACTACCAAATTTTGGCATGTGATGTGGCATTTTTTTATTGCTTGAGTTTTTTCCCACGTTGAGACATGACAGGAAATACAGGTCAATATAGATTTGTACTATTAGTTTCCTTGTGTGTCTTGATCTGTTATTTAATTGCCATAATAATTAGAATTATTTATTTATTTCTATTTTTATTGCCATTATTGATCTAATACGCCTAATATTTAATAATGGAATGTGTATATTAGTTTTTTCATGTCTATGATAACTAATTTATTGCTATTTGTAGCGTAGATAATTAATTACGGTCAAATTCAAAAAATTATGACTCCGTTTTGGATTTTTTTTTTCATCATTTTTTTTTGTAAATGAACATTCGTGAATGGTTAATTAATTTAAAAAAAAATCAAAAGCAATATTTTGATCTAATATCTTCATCATAAAATTCAATATTTTAATTAGAAGTCTTATATCATAAAATTCATCAATAATATTATCTAATTACTCATATTTTTGTAGGCTCCATACGTATTATTTTTGGAAAATTCCTACTTCACGATCGTATGTGAATATTTGTTAACTTTTTCGAAAAATCACACAGCAATTGATTGTCGAAATTTATCAAACTACAACACTTTTTTTATAGAATGGATGAAATGTTTCAAAGTTTTTCGAAAAATCACACCATCAATTGGGTGTCCATATTTGTCTAACTACTCCTTCTTATAGTTTAGAAAGAATCCAAATTTGTATGGATTGTTTACTTTTTTTTTTGTTAGATAAAGAATTTTGGAAAATCCCGACTACATAAATTTTCTATCATAAAACTCACTCATAGTATTGTTTAAATATAATTTTTCTTTTTTATTCTTAATATATTAAATATTGTCACAAAATAATATATATATATATATATATGATTTTATTTTTTGTCATTATGAGATATGATAAATTATAAAAATTGAATAGTATGCATATATGGCACAATATTTATTTTAAATTTTTTTATATATTTTTAAATCAATTACATCATTAAATAATAATAATAATGCACATTAAATATTTATTAATATATATATAAGAAAACTACTTTTATGAGTTTTATAAATAATAATGACATTATATGACAATAAATTTTATAATAAAATAATATTTGACTATTATGATGAAAAAGATAAGTAAAATAATTATTTGTTTGTATTATAATAAATATATGTTTTAAAATATATTTTGTATTAATATAAACAAGTTAATGGGCTAATATATTATTAAAATAAAGTTTTAGAAAAAAGTTTTAAGGTACAAATCTCTCCGTGCATCGCACGGGATGCTTACTATTTAATATTGCAAATGCTTGCCAAAAATGCCAACGCAATATCGTCTCAATCACTAATCCTGTGGCGTGGGATGTGATGCCCGAAAAAACGTATCTTTTCTCTTGGAACACCGTCATCTGGGAGCTTAGGTATCTACCTAAGCTCGGACCCTCAGATGGCAATTTTCTTGTTCGTTGAAATGCTGCTCGCGTCAGATGTGATGCCCGAAAGGCTCACTTACCCATCGGTTTTCACGGGAGAATCATATCAAGCTGGGACTCGAATCGGACCCGTTTATCCAGAATACGATACTTCACATGTACGTGGATTGCGGCTTTTGTGAAGCACCCAAGACATTAGAACACTGGGCGATCGCCCTTCCTCTAAGATTCATGATAAAATAAAAATAGTATATCATGAAACGACAAAAAGATGCAGACCCTGCATTATTTATCTATGTTTTTTATGCATATTTATATAAAATAAAAATAGTATATATATATAATGATTAAATTTCTAAAATTAGATACATGATTTCAAAGAACCGAAAGCTGAAATTCAACTAAAGCATTTGCAAATTAACTGAAGGTTCAAAATGCAATCACGACAAAACCTAAACCCACTAAAGAAATTCACAAACTTGTGTCAGCATAGCATAAAACCCATCACTAAGCATAATGAAAAAAGGAGAGTCTATCAAGATCAGTCTTCATATTATCAAGTCAGACAGGCAGCAGAGGATTCACAACTTGGCCAACAAAGAGCACAACACCACTGGTCTCCTCCCTTATTACAAAGAGGAAAGGATGGTCAGCTACAAAGTCAAACACGTCCACGGGCTTGCTGTACATCGAACATCCAACCACGTTGACACAAGCCGAAGCTGCTGCAGCCTCCGTGCCCTGTTCGTCCACCTCTACGTATGCCTTATGAAAAAAGAGCGAGATTTCGAGTGAAGGATTATTCGGGGAAGAGTAAACCATCTCGGTCAAACCACCGCGAAAAGGGAGAACCAATCCTTGCTTTTTAAAAAACTTGGAAGCCTCAAAATCGAAGCTTATTTTAAACTTGGGGAGACGAAAATCCCCCATTTCCACTCTTTCATGTGGCATGTGGTGCTCTATGAACCCAGAAATCGAGCCGAATTTCTCGACGAGCGCCCGCAAGCCATCCCTGGCATTGGGAAGAAAGAAGTACATGGAGAAATTCCGCGTGTCCTGGCCCTTTTCGTAAGGTAGCTTTAGAACCTTAAAATCGTCAAAAGGGAGAGCGAATTGGTCCTTGGAGCTGGTCATGAAGGGGACACGAACCGAACTTCCGTTCAAGAGGAAGAAGTCGTGGACTTTGGTTAGAGACGGGTTGAATTTTGAAGCCCAGGCTCCTTTGAAGTAGAGTGCATTTGCAAGGATGAGCTTAGTCGCACTAGTGACTGAGTTGGGTGGGAGCAGATTTTTTATCACACCATTTGTTTTCTCCTCGGCCCAAGCATTCACTGCTTCTCTTACCACATCAGACTGAAAAGTTTCAGAGAAAATCAAATTAATGAAAGAGTTGGTACATAAATTAGAGGTGACAATGGCTGGCACGAGTCAGAAACACAAAGACAAACGACACGGTGAGCACAATACAAGACGGCACTACCAGAAACACTATAGTGAGACATGATTGTGCTACGATTTGTCATAGGAAGGGAAAAAGGAGGCACAAGACAAACTGAACACAAAATACGATGAAATCAACTGTACTATCGTGAGCAACGAGGAGAAATCGGTTTGGGCGGCGATTGACTGCTTGATGTCCATTGTTGGCGTGAGGCTGGTACATTCGAATTGTTTGTGATAACCTACGAGATTAGTGAGACTGCTTGATCGAGTTTTCCATATGAAAAATATATCTACATATATAATAAGTATAGCAATGCTAAGGAATCCTCCGATATCCTGCTTGTAAAACGTATTTTGAGAATAAGGTAATCGACTTGGGAGAGGAAGACATTAGGGCTAGCTAAGAGGAATTGTTCTCGAAGCCTGTTTAGGAAAATAAGTAAACCTAATCGAAATTAGAAGAACTATGACGAAACTTGGCAAATTTAGAATCATTTAGAGGTAAGAGTGCTAAGCACAAAATTCTTTTAGTTTATCTTTGGAAGTAAGAATCGAGTCATCTGGAGGGGAATTGGGAAACCAGTATTAATCCTCCTGTGTGTGTGAAAAANATAAAAAAAAAAAAAAAAAATTCTTTGGAAGTAAGAAGGATAAGAAAAGTAGTGAATGGGTGAAGTGGATATTCGAAAATCAGTATTTGACTTTTTTGGATTGGGAGGAGGGTCTTTCAGAGAATCACAAAACTAAATGATATATAGAAGTTCAAACAATTATGATAAATGAGAAAGTGTCAAACATAATTGAGAAATTGCGAAACAATTATGCGATATAATAAGCGAAAGACATACGAAGATAATTAATGCGAAAAGGCATGCAACAAAAAAATCATACTTTGGAGTTAGGCTTGGATATAAATTAATATTTGTATTAATTGTATTTTAATATCATTTTCTATTATAACAAATGAATTGCAAATATATTTTAAAAGTTGATAACTTTTGTATTTCTTATCGATTTTACATATATAATATATCAAATTAATCATCTTTTGATGAGCTTCGGTTTGACATCCATATTGTATATATAAAATAAATAAATTATATTTATTTTTTTAATAATAATAAAATTATTTATTAATATTAATTAAAAAATAAAATTATTTATCAATTAATATATTTATGTTTAATGTAGTTATATGGTATAAGGTAGAAAATTTATTATAATATAACACATATAAGTCGCACAAGTAACATGTGTCATACTAATATAGTATATAGTCCTTCCTATTTTTATTATTTGTCACTTTGGCTCACAATTAAAACTATAAATTATATTATAAAGTAATAGAAATTGGGATGTATTCTTTTAAAAATGATATTTATTTCAAATCTCATTGATATGTTGTCAATGTAATAAAAATAAATAATTATTTATATAAATTTTAAAATTACATATAAAGTTAAAAAATTGTGAAGCACAACTGATACGACACTTGATGTATTAGACATCTAATTAAGTAAAAAAATTAATCTATTTTGTTTAATATTAAATAAACCTATTCTACATTTATGCATATACATATTACCATATTATATTTATTTAATTAAGATATATATTTTACTTACGTAATAGTAAATAATATGATATTTTTATATGATATAAGTAAAAAAATTCAACACAGGTTGACATTTTTATTTAATGTACGGATGTTTAATTATCATGATTAAAGAAATATAATTTGAGAATTTAATTAAAGCCTAAAATAATATTTTATATAAAATTAAATTATTTTAATTCTTAGAAAATAAAAAAATTAATAGTTTTTACAAAAGTTTTCTAATTCAACTCTCGTGTTGTTATTGTATTAAAAGATATAATAAGCGGAAGATAGGTCAAAATCCCTGAGATATGAATAGGAGAGATACGCAAGGGTTTGGGTTTGTGCATAGTTTGGCATAAAAATTTCAGATCCAGAAACTATACGGCTCCCAATACACCGAGAAAACCGGCAGGAAGCGTTCGGCAATCTAAGACCTTACTCCCGTTTTCAATTCTAACGACACCTTCGTAAGTAGGCTGAGCGAGATAGCAGTAATGGGGCGTCAATTTGATGTCGAAAGGGCAAAAAGATGTATCGGGCAGCCGCGACTGGATGTACTGAGTGATGAATCATCAAGACGGCGTGCGATGAGAAATCTCAATACCCAGTTTGCGAGTTGGATACAAAGTCAATTTCAAAACCATCCAGATGAGCTTTGGGAGGATGGAGTGCAGGATTTCTTAAACCGTGCCAAAAACGTCATGGAGATTTTTGGTGGTGATGTTAATCCGTTGAGAACAAATGCCGTGAAACGAGCCAATATTCCTTCTGAAGATGCTCAGACAGTGCCTCTATTCGGAACTGACAAAAGCAGTCATTCATTGTTTCCAGACGAACCTGGTCCGACATTGTTTTCGTACAAACCTATGTTTCCTGCAGCCACAACAGCAAGCTCTGGAACCCCAGGGAGACCTGCACTTCTCTTTAATAATGGCCCTTTCACATTTGGAGGTATTATTTCAATATAATTGATGGAATGTTTATATATACATATTCACTATGTAGCATGTATCTACTGCATGCAATCGTAAATGGCGCATTGTGAAATTATATATTCATTACAAGATTTGATGTATGTGTTTGCAAGTTATTCAAGTATGAATATGTTCCCAATTAGAATATATAACAATTAGTTCCATGATATCTTAAGTCTCTTTTTGTATAATTAGTTCCATTGCATACTGGGTTCCCATATGTGGGTGATTTAACAATACCTTTTCCCATTCAATCATTAGTTCCACTGTACTGGGTTCCCATATGTGGGTGATTTAACAATACTTTTTCTCATTCAAATAAAGAATTCCGTACTGGTTTTTTTCTATCGATAAACGATGTTAGTTCGGTTGAGAGTGTACTTAAATTCTGTACTTTGGTTCTTTACCCTCCATAATTGACGATGTGTATGAAAACTGTGATCATCTTGCTTAATTTTGGATACTGTTTTGTGCTCATGGTCTCCAGTAAGCGAGGTTTCAGTTCCTGGAATTGGAAATGCCAATGCTGTTACTTCAAATGAAGCTGATGGAGAGAGGGTAACAAAGACGATGGTGACGGACCCGACTCTCGACGACGACAGGTGGGGATTGTTTGCAATGTACAAGCGCAAGTTTTGGTTCGAAGAGAACGATTATGACGTCCCTGAATCTTATTTCTACCACACCGGCGAGAAGATTCAGCTCAATACCATCGAGCTGGTCAAGAGATTCCTCAAACAAGTCCGCGAATCCAGGGGTTATGACGTGGACTGCTGCCCACCTCCGATGTTTGAATCTCCATTCGCACCACTTCCACTGGAAGAGATGCGCCAGAGTACAAGAGATATGGATAAATTCGGGTATGCTACAGTTGTCGAAGCAGCTGAGTGTGCAATTCAGAAAATCAGTGAAGAGACTGGTCACAGTTATAAGCTTGTGAAAGTCGACAAGGCTGTCCTGACCAGCGCCTCGGTGTTATTCTTGACTTTGACTGCCGAGGAAGATGGTGGCCCTGTGCAAACTATTCAAGCCGCGGTTTACGAGCCCCGTGGTGGCTATTTAGTCCTTCAAGAGTGGAGGTTCAAACCACTCCCTGCTCATTGACATTGTTGTCAACTTTAAGGTTTACTTGTAGTTGTCCACCTATCCCTATGCTTATATAAACCTGAATGTTCCTAGTATTGTGAAGATCTATTATGTTAGTTATCCATGAATTTAGACTTGACTTGAGACTTACGTGGCTATTTGTTATCAGTTACTGTTAGCTAATGCATGTGATGGAGCTGTCACTTATTAGTCTCTTGTTTGTTTCTTTTCTCTGAATTCGTTGAATAATTTTGTTATTACTTATTACTGTCTTCTCAAGGAATTGCTTCCTTAATCGTTTTATGATGACGATATAAGGACAATATATGGGGAACTCAACCGGTAAAACAAAAGTCATGCGACAAACAGATGAATATAAATATGAAAAGTGTGAAACAATTAGGCGATATAATATGCGAAAAAACAAACGAAAATAATTGATAAAGTGCAAAATAATTATGCATATTAACTATGCGACAAAACAAACAAACCTCGTCAAAACGAGCCTCGCGAGAGACACCATAGCCGCTAGCCGAGTCCTCGCCTTTTGTGCCACTTCATCGGCGGCGGATTTCCGCGACCTGGGCTACGCGTACTCGCTCTTTTCCCACATGGAAAATAAAAAACGAATCTTTTCCTGAGCTCGGATCCTCATATAGCAATTTTCCTATTCGTCGAAATGCTGCTGACGTCAGATGTGCTGCCCGAAAGGCTCACTTACCCATCGGTTTTCAAGGCCTACACCAGGCTCGGGCTTGCCATATTCGGGACACAGCTTCAGGACAATTGATCGAACTTTTTGGAAATGAGTCAGCCGTGGCTAATGTGTTTAGCTTAGTGTGTGTTGATATCTGTCTGCAACTTTATATGTGAAAAAGGTATGTAGGGGTTTTTGTGATATACATTGGCACTTGCACTTGCTTGATTGAAAATTTGGCCATGTAAATTTAAGAAGATAGCATCATCTTTGATAGAATAATTTCCAACACATATATCAAGCAAATAATTTGACAAGTTTTGGAAATTATCTCATGACCACATTTGTCTGATAAATTATTCATGAATGAGTTTCTCATCAGTATTATTCCACATCATCATTTTTATTTTTATTTTTTCCATATCTAAGAAAATCCAAGCAACTCTTGCAAATTGGAGAAGTTGAAAAATATCACGTTGTAATTTAGGTACACATTTGAAATCCTTGCACACAGCAAACACTTGCAAATTTATGTTTTTGCAGAGTACTAATAAACCAGTGAGAATAAATTATATATCATTTCGAAGCTCTCAACTTGATCTTTCTAATGACATGTTTAATTTGGTACCTTAAATTTTGTTAAATTACTATTAAAGTTTAGAAAATGTTAAAGAATTACGCATAAAATTTTGTCAAAATACCTTTGAAGATCGACTTATGGATTTCCATGAAAGATATAGGTTTATAAAACTCTTTTCATAAGTAGCCCAACGACATCTCCCATAAACGCCGAAGAAGTTCCCTAATTTCCTGCAATGCGCGATGGTAGGCCAAAGATTATAACCGGTGATTTTTGGTGACTCGATTGTCTGAATTTGATGGGTGCTCATTTTGTTCATCTTTTGATGAGATACAATAACCTTCAATTAGTTTGTTGTTTTGAATTCATACGTGCCATCAATTTGAATTTTCTACACATTTTTTAAGAAACAAGAGATTTCTTACACGTCTGAAAAGACATTTTTTTTAATTTTGAATTTTGTTGGTACATTTCTAGTGGGAGCAGAGCGTCGCCATTCAAATTTGTCAACGAGTGGACTTGTCAAATTTGAAGTGACTCATTTGATTGGTGTATTTTTTTAAATATAAAATAAAATTGTGTGTGTATAATTATGTGCTTTTTCACTTGAAAAAATGCGAAGTTTTAACCATTCACATAATGTTCACATTTATGGGTTAAAAAAGAAGTGTTTTAATGAGATAGTGTGTAAAAGAAAGAATATGTTTATATAAGATGTAAAGATGCAGGCCCTGCATTATTTATCTATGTTTTTTATGTATATTTATATAAAATAAAATAGTATATATATAATTATTAATTTTCTAAAATTAAATACATGATTTCAAAGACCCGAAAGCTGAAATTCAACTAAAGCATTTGCAAATCAACTGAAGGTTCAAAATGTAATCACCACAAAACCTAAACCCCCTAAAGAAATTCACAAACTTGTGTCACTGTAGCATAAAACCCATCACTAAGCATAATGAAAAAAGGAGAGTCTATCAAGATCAGGCTTCATATTAAGAAGTCAGTCAGACAGCAGAGGATTCACAACTTGGCCAACAAAAAGCACACCACCACTGGTCTCCTCCCTTATTACAAAGAGGAAAGGATGGTCAGCTACAAAGTCAAACAAGTCCACGGGCCTGTACCTCGAAGAGCCACCACGTCCCAGGCCTGCCGAAACTGCTGCCGCCTCCGTGCCCTTTTCGTCCACCTCTACGTATGCCTTATGAAAAAAGCTTGAGATTTCGAGTGGAGGATTATCCGGGTCAGAGTAAACCATCTCGGTCAAACCACCGAGAAAAGGGAGAACCAATCCTTGACTTTTAAAAAAATCCGAAGCCTCAAAATCGAAGCTTATTTTAAACTTGGGGAGACGAAAATCCCCCATTTTCACTATTTGATGTGGCATGTGGTGCTCTATGAACCCAGAAATCGAGCCGAATTTCTCGACGAGCGCCCGCAAGCCATCCCTAGCATTGGGAAGAAAGAAGTACATGGAGAAATCCCGGGTGTCCTGGCCCTCTTGATACAGTAGCTTTAGAACCTTAAAATCGTCAAAGGCGAGCGCAAATTGGCCCTTGGAGCTGGTCATGAAGGGCACACGGACCGAACTTCCGTTCAAGAGGAAAAAGTCTTGGACTTGGGTTTTAGACGGGTTGAATTTTGAAGCCCAGACTCCTTTGAAGTAGAGTGCATTTGCAAGGATGAGCATAGTCGTACTAGTGACTGAGCCGGGTGGGAGCAGATTTTTTATCACACCATTTGTTTTCGCCTCGGCCCAAGCATTCACTGCTTCTCTTGCCACATTAAACTGAAAAAAGTTTCAGAGAAAATCAAATTAATCAAAGAGTACAATTGCTGGCAAGATTTGTCAAACTAAACACAGAATATGATGATGAAATCAACTGTATCGTTAATCGCAAATCCTAAATCCAATTGGTGCGATGTTAAGAAAACCAAACCTGATTACGAAAATCCACATGACCTACTGCGCTCCCATAAGCATTCTCGATGGTTTGGTTGAAAGCCGGCTTCAGGGCAAGGCTGCGTTCGACCCAAACCCCGTTGGCGATGGACAGGAGAGGGCCGCCGAGCGACCCGCCGTCGGCTAGCAGCCTGGTGGAGATCTGCGACGATAGGGAATTGAGTTCCTCGATCGAATCGAACATGAGGTAGCGCAGGAGCTGTTCACGGGCAGGGCGACCCGACCCGACCGCGACCATGGCCAGCACGACGTGAATTGAGAGGGGCGAGAATACAAAGTTGTTGTCCTTGACGTGGGTGGAGATGAGTTGCTTCGTGAGCCGCAAGGAGAAGTCGGTTTGAGCGGCGATTAACTTCCGTAGGTCCATTGATAGTTTCTCCCAGAGGTCCATTGTTAGTTTCTCAAACTAATTGGCAGAAACGTATGTTTTAGTCCAATCAAAATAACTAAATGAGTCATTTAAATAGAACTCACAAAGACCTAAATAAATAACTTGACTGGCAAGACAAAATGTCAAAAACTAAAGAAATAAATATGGTGTAAAATAAATATTATCTTACCAAAGGTATAAATGCAAATATTAATAATAAAGGAAATAAATAATTAATTAATATTAATAACCGTATTACGGACGCAGCTTCACGGGAGAATCATATCAAGCTGGGACTCGAATCGGACCCGTTTATCCGGAATACGATACTTCACATGTACGTGGATTGCGGGCTTTTGTGTGAAGCCTGGAAACTGTTTGATTCTATGGTGCAGGACAATTGATTTGATGGAACTTTTGGAAATGAGTCGGTTATGGCTAATGTGTTTAGCTTAGTATGTGTTGGTGTCTGTTTGCAACTTTAGATGTGAAAAAAGACTTGCGTTTGCTTGGTTGAAATTTTGGCCATGTAAATTCAAGAAGATAGCATATCTTCGGATAGAATAATTTCCAAACACATATATCAAGCGAATAATTTGATAAGCTTTGAAAATTATCTCAGCACATTTGTCTGATGAGATAAGATGAATGAGTTTCTCATCAATATTGTTCCACATCATCATTTTTATTTTTATTTTTTCCATATCTAAACAAATCCAAGCAACTCTTGCAAATTGGAGAAGTTGAAACAGTTGGCATTGTACTTTGGGTACACATTTCAAATACTTGTACACATCAAACACTTGCAATTTCATGTTCTTGCAGACTACAAACAAACTACAAACAGCCAGCAGGGATCTGTAGTCCATAGGCAGCACCCAAGACATTCGAACACTGGGCAATCGCCCGTCCTCCACGGTCCATGTACGACAAGTCTATGTCGACGAGCTTAATATCCTTGCAAGGCCGAATATTGCTGCACAGCAAGTTGACCGCCACTTGCGTCTGCGAGATCCCCCGAATATTCCTGAACACCACATTCTCCACTTGCACGGCCGAACTCACGCCCTCCATGCAGTTGGAGTGCGGGCAGTACTGCTGGTCGATGACGATCGGGTTTTTCACGTACCTCATGACGATATCCTCGAACGTGATGCCGGACGCCAGGCTGGACTGTGACGGGGCCCACGTCTTGATGCGGACCCCGTTTTCCGTTCCCGCGAAGGAGCAGTTGGAGACGCGGACTCCGAGGACGTACTCGTTTTGGGGGCCTTTGCCGAGGCTGCCGACGCTGATGCCGTGGCCGGGGCCGCAGGAGACGAAGGAGATGTCGACGTCGCGGGTGCCGGAGACCATGGATATGCAGTCGTCGCCGGTGCTGATTCGGGAGTTGGAGATGCGGATGGAGTTGGAGGAGCCGATGCGGATGCCGTCCGTGTTGGGGCTGTCGGCTGGGGCCGTGATTCGGAGCTGGGTGAGGTTGACGTTGGTGCAGGCGAAAAGGTTGATGTGGGTGTTTTTGCTGTTGACGGATCTCAGGTGGTGGACTTTTGAGTTGGTCACGAAGTCGAGTCTCAGTGACTGCATGCCGAAACGAAGATGATGTTTTTAACTTTTTAACATGTGCTCATAAGAAATTATGTTAGGAGGGATTGAAATAATACTACTACTAAGTAATTTTGGAGGATTTACCAAAATAAATTTTTCTCTAATAGAAGGAGCTACTATCAGAATTTGCCTAGCATAATTGTTAATTAAACATATTACTACTACAAGAAAATGATAAAATTTCAACGGAAGCTATAATTAGAGTATTTGTTTAAAGTATCTGTTGAATTTCTATTAGAATATATTATCTATCATCATAATTTATTGTTCAGAACTTATCTAACATAATTATTATTTACATTCCACAATGATTTGATTTGGAATGTATTATCCCATGCTTTTGTCATCATCATCAAATGGAAGGGCTTTACATGCGGGATAGATTGAAAAAGTGGTTCTTCCTATAATATTGGTGCGATTGAAAAACGTATGTTTTGATGATCAATCTTTGGATCCAAGATTTTGTGGAGAATGATGTTTCTCTTATTTTATGAATTTCTTCTGTTGAAACAAATTTGATTTGATAGGACTGCATCTCATTATTTTGTTTTTGTTACTTTAAAAAAAAAGTAAGAAAAAATTATTTCAATTGATAAATCAAGTTATTTCGTCAGACACTTTTATTATATCACTAGTTTTTCAACCATCAGTCATAAACTATCAGCAATAAATTCGAAATAAGTTTAAGAGTTATCAGTTAAATTAGCAGCTATTATCTACAAGCTAGCTTTCCAGTTAAATTTACCAAATATACCTATAACCTAATTTTCAATCTTTGATTTCTCTAATATGTTATAAGTCCAACACATCTATACTTATATAATAAGGTGTACCATTTACGAAATTTAGTAAGTTGAAAAATCAATGCAATAAATGCATTACTATTTTGAGCAACATAATATAATATCATATCTATACTTATATAAAAGGAGATTTTATTTACTACATTTACTATCCAAAAAAGTCAACTGCATTAAATACCATTACTATTTTGGTATTATAATATTTTATTTATTTAATTAATTTATTTATTTGTTTTATTTTAAAAAGGTAAGTATAATAAAAAGATTTTAATAATAAAAAAATCGAATACCAAATAAATGTACACTTTGACTTATTTGATTATATTTGGCATTTGATTATAACAAATATATTCCTATTTAGTATATACATTAAATACTTACTAAAGTATTTATTAGTTTTATTTGTCAAAGTTAAGTATAGATTTGTTTATATTATCAAATCATAAAAAAATATTAAATCCATATTGTAAAAAAAAAAAAAAATCATATAATTTTATAACAATTCTACTACACTATTTAACAATATTCCTTTTTTATTATATAATAAAATAATAATTAAATATTATATGGTGAACAACAATAAGTAAAACTGTTACTTTATCTTATATCAAGGGATAAATTTATATGCTAAAATTAATTTTTTATTAGTATAAATATTTTAGTGAAATAATATATTAATTATTTTACAAGTTAGCTCTAACATGCTCATATTTAATGTTTTAAAAGATGTAGAAAAAAACTTATAATAACCCTATTGTTTTTAGGCTTAAACGTTGATTAAAAGAGGTAAAAGTTCATAATTTTTTAGACTTAAACGTTGATTAACACCATAGATTGAAAGTCTATATTTAGTAAAATTCCTAATTGTAATAAAAAAATTAATTTTGCTATATTTTAGAATATCTTTAAATTCATTATAAAAAAAAAAGAAAAAAAACTACAATGAAAAAAGCAAGTCAGCTATATATCGATTTGTTGTACTCCTTAAATCACTCACAATTTTGCTACAAGGAAAGAAAACTCATTGATTAAAATATAAATTTATCAGTAGTCTTAATGTACAAGAGAATTTAAGACTCCACTTGAATATTATAAAACTTTTGTTGAACATTGTACAATTTTCTTGCGTATTATAAACTTTTATTGAATATTGCATCTTATAATATAATATTCTCTAAATAAATATATCTCGTGCTTCGCACGGTCACGTACTATATATATATCCCGTATATTTTTCTTTATTTATGTATATAATTATAAACCTGGATCAATAGCCTTAATATTGTGCACCCGCTGGTACCAGTAAGGAGCAAAAGATATGGGGAAATTAAAAAGGCAAATCCATTTCAAAACTTTGACCAATAAAGTAAATAATAATAATAATAATAATAATAATCCAATTTTTTACTGCAAAAGTCTGCAAATGACGACAAAAACTCAAATAATTGAAAACTACACAAAATTATATAAACGAAAATTAGAATGAACTTACAACTGGAAGGGGCCTGCATCCGGCATTACGGTTGCAATCGTTATAGGGCCAAGCAGCCGGGCCTTCTCCGTCCAGGTACCCGCCGCCGGCCACCGTCAATCGGTTGATATACCGGAAACCTATCCACGTGTCGGTAATGAACTTGCTGGGTTCCGTCGGGGCCCGCAGGGTCCCTTTGTTCAGAAAAGCAATGGGCCCGTTACACGGCCCGGAAAACGTCACCGACCCCACCAAATACACCCCGCGTGGAATCCAAACGCCGCTCTTCCCACGGTACGCGCACGCGTCCTGCCACGCCCTAAGAAATGCCTGACAACACCAAAATTATAATTAGTTGTAATTAATTACGAGGTTTAACAAATTATTATTATAATTTTATAATTTTGTATAATTCGGTCACCAACCAAACTGTCGTCTGTCCTTCCGTTAGCAACCGCACCGTACTTTGTCACGTCGAAGAGCCTCGACGGTATATCGCCGTTAACCGACGAGACGGCAAAGGACGATAGCATAATAAGAGCGATGACATTTGCAGCCATTTGGAGTGTATTTTTTAAAATTATTTTCTCTTAATTTTTCCTAGTGGTCTCTGTATGAGTTGCACTGCTGCTATTTATTAATTTTGAAGGACAAAATCTCAAGAATTAATCTGCATTATTATTTGGCGAATTAAATTTTTTCCATAATCCACATAATTTCGACAATCTCCTCAAAATGAAATGGAATATCATGTGTTTTCCTTTTTGTGAAATAATTTTCTTTTTCTATTTCTTTTTTTGTTGTAACAGTAAATTTTGACCGACCCACGATACCCCATATAATTTTGACCGATAATTTACTTTTGGATCATGAAATTTGAATACCTAATATTTGATATTGAATTCTTAGAGGATGATTGGATATAAAAAATTTTGGTTTTGTTTGGATTTTTTTGTTTGGTTTGGTTAATTTTGAAAAAGTTGGTATGGTTAGTTGTTAATGGGTATATTAAATAATATTTAAAATAAAATGATTAAAGTTGATTTGATGTAAAGTAGGTGAGAGAAAATTTGAAGTGATGGTTAGTTAAAATTATGTGAGTGGATGAATAGTGAATTAAGGTAAGGTGGCGTGTAAGAATGATTGATTGATATTATTTAATTATATTGATAATATTGATGATAGTGGGGTTGAGTTAAAGTTGAGTTAAAAAAAATGGTTGAGTTAAAAATATTTGGATTTTTTTGATAAATTTTGTATCCAAACATGCTCTTAGTATTCTAGCCTTTTAAAAAAGGAATAGCAAAAACAATCCCATATCATTTGTGCGATGTCAAAAGAAGTAAGACTTGACCAAAAACAGTAAATATCAATGACTAATAATATCATATATTAAGTACAAAAAATAATAATAATAATAATAATAATATGATATATTTATTACCTAAAATTTATGGGACATTGAAATATGAAGAGTTTATTACTCAAAACTCGAAAGTCTTGCATCAACATCATGAAATCAGGTCATAAATTTGTTTAATTGCTTGATGAATTTTCAGATTTTGGTTTCCCAGTTGACCATTACATTAAGTAAAAAATCTGTAACATATTTGCAGGCAAAAGTTTATTTTTACCATAATTATCAATACATTCATGGTGGTTGTAATTTGATACAAATAATGTTTACAGTTTGTTTGTAAGATTACCATGAATTTAGTTGCCAAGTATTATTTTTGACTTATTTCTACAGAGGAAATAATAATTAATTGCGCTCTCCCACACTATTTTACTTCGGGGAGATTCCACACAATTTACCTCCAAATAAGTGGAGCTATTTGTGATGTAGAGCTCATTTTGCTTTAGGCCCGACTCAGTTTGAGTTTTTATAACAAACAAATTAAAGTCGAGCTTAAAATCTCGTTGATTCAAACAAGTCGAGCCTGAGTTCCAACTTCATTGGAACGCCAGTTCTAGGTAGCTAGCTTGTTTAAAGGCCGAAAAATATCTAGAAGCATCCATTGAAACTTAAATGACAATCATGTATTTGAAAAGCTTAAGCAATATTAAGTGGTATAAAAAATTATATTCTGGATATAATTCTGACAGGATTCCTGCTTCCATAATGTGATCAATACTAACTCAATTTTATTTTGTAAGACAACGTATGGTCATTTTCTTTAATCCATTAAAATTGATAGTTTCAAGTACGACTTGAAACTATTAAAATATTATGAAAAATAAGCCGAACATAACTTAAAGTTAAAGGAAGTGGTTCCTATAGGAGTGGTTCCTGCAGATTTAATTGACAAAAACGTTAAATTTTTTGTCTCGGACATGGGCGCATGGAGATGGAACCTTTTCGCGTACTTGGTACCGGCAACTGTTTTATTCCATATTGCGGCCACACAGACACCAAGAGTGGAGCTAGGGCGTGACCGTCTTTACTGGGGCCTTTCGTCCACAAGAAAATTTACTACCAAATCCGCATACGACATGCTAGCAGGTGCAGGTAATTTGACCTCGGGCTTGGAGCCGAAGGCTTTATGGCGAGCGGTTTGGCATTGGCCAGGTCCACAAAGAATAAGGAATTTTCTTTGGCTCCTTACGAAAAATAGATTGCTCACTAATGTGAAATGAATATCTGAAATGAATATGGACTTTTAAAATATCTGTTTTCAATTCGAGATATCTTAAAACTTTCAATATCTGAAATGAATATGGACTTTTAAAATATAAAATGTCCAAATTAAATACACAATTTTCTTAAAAATATTAAAGAAGTCTTTGAATATTTTCAATGTATACTACATCGACGGATATTATTATAATCACATTTTTTTTACTTTTTTACTTTAAAAAAGTGCCTCATCAAAGTAAATATTTACAGTACTCGTGTAAAGAAACTCATTGCCTTTTAATATTAGTATGTATTATTCGTGAAAAATCATAACCTTCTTTAAAAGGTAAAATAGCAAAACAAAATCGCATTCACAAGTTTCAACATTTCCACCAACCAATTCATCCATTATTATTACATTTTTCGCTAGCTAACTCTTGAAGAAGATTTTTGTCCGGTGATGGTATTATTTTTTCTCGAGCGAAAACAATTTTTTCATTTCATTTAATTATCAATTCAAATGGTTTCCAGTAGTAATAGATAAATTTATCGTTAGCTATAGAATTGATAGAAAGATCTACACTTACAATGCCCTACGAATAGATCGTGTTATTATGTGCAATTACAACATAATCAAGGCAACCATGATGCTTTCAAAATTAACATTGACATGTATTTTACTCTGTTCTCTCTCTACTTTTCCACATTTACACTATTTTAGTCTACAGTTGTAAGAAACAACGAGCAACATACCTCTCACTATCACGTCATTTGCTGAAAGAGACACTGTATAGTGAACTAAGCATTTCATTGGATCTCACCTGTTTGCCTGATAGTCGTGATCCTGCATAAAACGAGAATTATAATAACCAACAATAATAGGAAAACTATCATACAACAACATGATACCAGAAATACAGAGCGAAAACTTGCTGGCATTTAGCAACAGTTAATTAGGCTGTGGCTCATGTTACTTTACCTTTCTCTAATCCGACGAATGCCCACCAGAATTTCTGTTGCATGGTGCACCTTTGAATACTCAAGCTTTTCCTTGTGCTCCAAAAGCAAGTTTGAGTACCTTAGAAATGTCTCGAGTTCTTGTTCAATTTTGGTGAGCTGTTGATCTATGCCTTTCATGAAGTCATCATAGGTGTATACATTGTTTGACTCACTCTTGGGAATAATTGGCAGTGCTTCTTCTTCTTCTTCTGCTTCTTCTTCTTCTTCTTCTTCTTCTTGACACTGTAAGCTAGTAAGATCCAAGTGTTGATCATCATCAGAAGTAACTGAGTTTTCCTTTGTTGGTGATACAATTCGAACGGGGCTTGTGGCCTCTGTCTCACTTGCATCATGATCCAAAGCCATATTCTCAATTAGTAGAGATTCCTTCATGGAAATTACCTGACACCAAATAGGATCTTCAGAAGAAAGGTTTAGATACAAAAGACATTTGAGGCAAGAACAACATATCTCCAATACGCATACAAGCCCCCCCAGCAAAACATTTATTCAATTTCAAGTTTGTCTTTCATTTCTAAGGTAATGTGACTTGCACTAATCAAGAGGGATCAAGCATTGCATGTCGCAATTGGCGATTAATTTACGATTATGCCAGATGTCAAAGAAACTGTCCTGCCCGTATTTTCAAGTGCTAAGTGTCACACTAACGTACTTTCTCGACTAGCAGAATCTAAACCAGAAGAAATATAGTTGTACCTCATTCAGTTTTGCAGATAGCTCATCTAGCAATTCAATACGACTCTTCAGCTTCTCCATGGCCTGTGTTACCTTCTTTTTTTGAAACAGCAACTCCCTAGCATCATATTCCTTTCCAGTTTGGACACTAACTGCTGCTTGTCGTCTAAGCTTTTCAACAGCTTCAGACAAGCGCATGAGTCTCAACCTTGCATTATTGGCTAGAAACACAATTGTTTGTCAGTGCTTTTCACAAGTGAACTCTTTAGCAACACATGCTACGAAAAGGATATTGATAGAAAATTCTACGATCCGAATAATCAGACAAAATTAATATGTTGCTTTTAACCTTAAACATAAATATTTCACCTGAAGGGATAGATACACTTTGCCTGAACTTACATGTATTCCTGACTTCCCAAATACAATAATTCTGTCCTGAACTTATATGTATACTTGTCCATAGAAAACTCATTTCAACACTCAAAAAGGATTACACTACGATAGAGTCATAGAGATGGAAAGTTTTCACTGAGGCACTCTAAGTGCACTAGTCGATGTAATTCCCTATCATCATTCAAATTGATCACATACTTAATAGATTGCCAATGCATAAATTCTTGTTTCTTACAAGAATGCATCAGTTGGCAGTACAAACTTGCAGCTAATTACTCGCTGGGGCTGGACTCCAAATTTTTATATTAACCCTGCTGCTAGTATGAGTTCAGTGGTAGTTCTAACAACAACAACATAGATATTAGCATCTAAGTAGCAGCTCCCATTAAGTGGCACAACTTATCTTAAATTTATACAATTCAGTTAAAGCCAGTTCACAATCACAAAAACATTTATATCCATAAAAATTTTGTATTAGAAAAATATAAATAACAATGTACCTACAGCTACAGATCCCAATACCTGGCCTAATTACTCCATCTGCCATTGGCATAAGAAATCAACGCAATCATTATTCGTTATCCTGTGGGTACAAATCTCATACACGTTTAAGATGCCCTCTTAGCCCCAAAAACAAACCACTACAATGATATTCACTTGCACAAGTGAACCAGAGTACATTGATCTCTTTCCTAGTTATATTCCAGCAAATTCCATAAGATTTCTACTATCCAGATTGCAGGGGTGCCTCAACATTAGCATTATAGAACCCGTGAAAAAAGAAAGAAAATAGAAAAAATACCGTGCTTCACTTTACAGAGTGATTATATGCTCAAAAACAAACGAAAAACAATTAACAGGCCCATCAGCTCCTCCAACAAATGTCAAATTAATCACACTGGGAAAGGCATGTGTAGCTTGCAATCCACAATATACATTAACAAGTTCTTCCCCATTAACCAAGATATGCACTTTAATCAACCCAATGAATAATTAACCCATAAACGGAAGATTTGCAGTACACGCACAGCGCGCCTGCCAAGAAGAAGGATAAAAGAAAATAAAAATGAAATTCGAGCAAGAAAATGACCTTTGGCCCTTGTGGTGTTCGCCTCCTTGTGAAGATTATCAAGTTGTTGGCGGAGGTTGTCGGTAGCAGGCGGAGAAGCCAAGCAGAGCGTCTTCAAGCGCGAGCAAGGCCGCCATTGAGCTGAAACTGCGACCAAGTTCAGTGCCATCATGTCGTCTTTTTCTAACCTTTTTCCCCTAATAATCTGATGACTATACAGGGATGTATACAATCTGGATAACTAAAAGAATTGTCCTTTATTCAGATGGTAAAAATTATGAGAAATGATAGAAATTAAAATAAATAAAATAAAATAAGAATATGCTCATTTGAAATTTTTGATAGATTGGTGTACGTATTTGCAACATTTATTTAAACTGTAATATAAATGCAATTTTTTAACCATGAGGGATTTTAAGCATAGTTTTTAAATTCGGCCTTGATTTGGGAATTGACACGGTCAGGTCTCCGAGTCATCGGATCACCGATTTAACCATCAGGCCACCGGTTCAACCGTTGGGACACTGGGTCTACGAGAGTAAGTTAAACCAAACATATAATATTCTAATCAAGGTTTCAGACCAACTGATGGAACCTCTAAACGTTACATGCCTCATGGGGAAGTTGCGACCAAATAAGCTGAAAAACATTTATAAGGTACCTTGCTCGTTGAGACTGGGAGTGCACGGTAGTCTAGTCTTGTATGGGCAATCCGAAAGATGATGGAATGGGGTTGGAGATTAGATTTGCAACATGTCTTTAGATGATCGAATTTTTATTTTTAGTTCCTATAAATGTTTTAAGAATTGGGTATTTTGTACATTAGTGTAAATCTACACTTTTCAGGTCATGGTCATAAAAAAACATAAATCTAAGTTTGAAAATACATTTCTTAAAGCAAAGTAAGTACGACATCTTTTATAAAAAGCATAATTATGACTTGTTAGAATAAGAGTTGATAATGAAACGAGCCACTCATGAACTCAGCTCGTTAAGGTTCGAGCTCGGCTTAACTTGTTTGATAAAAGTCGGACTCATTTTGTAACAATTCGGCTTGATAAGACTAGAAATTATTTTTTTTATATAATTTTCTAAATTTCAACTCGTTAAAACTCGATTTTGGCTCGCTAAAATTGAAGCACGGTTCTTTTTTTTTATTAATGAACGAGCTAAGAACACGAGCTCGAGCTCAAATCCGCTTGTTTACAACCTAGTTAGAATTTCAATGATTTTTTCGCATGGATAGTTTGAATTTTCCTCAAAGACATTGAAATGAAAATTACAAGTGGACTTAGACATGGCCACGGGTCAACCGGCCCGTCGATCCGGCACGGACCCGACCCAGTCAAACCTGTTGACCACGGATCTGGGACCGGACCGGAATTCAGACGGGCCATTTAAGGGTCATCCATTTCATGACCCGGCCCGGTGGGTCCAGGCCGGGCCGGATCAATGACCCTCCTTTCCTTTTTTTTCTATTGTTTTTTCAAAAAATATCGGACTCAGCTCGAACATGACCCGGCCCAGACACGGACGTGGCACGACTATAGGTCCGCCGTCCGTGACAGTTCAGGGTCAGCGTTTTCGAGCCCGGCGACCCAACGGGCCAGGCCGAGCCATGACCCGGCCCAGGTTTTGGCCATGTCTAAGTGGACTAGTGGGTTAGTTAGGGCTGCGCATCCCAAACTTTATGCATAAAGTGATAAATTGAGACATTAAAGAGAAATTGGATTTAGATTTTATGGGACCACAATTTATCGTCCTATACATAGTTCATTGACGAATAGTATAAATTAATTCTAGCACGTACTTTATGTATCTGGACATTTGATCCACTGCTTGAGTTAATTATTTGTTTATATGGTCAAAATTGCTCAACAAATATATTATTTTGGGAAGATACAAATCTAATAACACTTGCAAATAAAGTATAACTAATTCAACCGCTAAGCAATTGGTGGACAATTGATTCGAACGCTTAGCAAATAGCTGATAATTGATGTAATCACTTAACAAATAGTAGATAGTTCATTCAACCAGCTGAAGCGGATGACTAATTAAATTAATGTTTGACAAACTGATTGGATAAATAAATTATGCAAAGTGTTCAGTGAATAATCACCTATTTGACTTATAAAAGTAATTAAAATTATAATCCTCATACAAAGTTTTTGGTTAAGTTAGACATGTAAAATTAACTAAAACTACATTTCTCTATTCCACAAGGCTCAGATAGTGAACTTTTTCCACAAAGCTCATATAGTGAGCTTTTTCAAAATTAGTATGTTCAAAGTTAGCATCTTGCATCTATTTCAATCCACTTACCATTACCAAACAATAAGATTAGAAGTTTGTCAAACTTCTAATTTATCCTTAAACGTTAATTACCAAACATGATACGTTAATCCACATACAAGCCAATCGAAGATCATATCAGTGACTCAGTAGCCTTCCTTCCCGGCGATCCGCCAGATCCTTCAAAATGGGTATTATAGACATCGGCTCACCGAGGAAGACCAACCACATTTAGGTTTTGAAATTTTAGTTTTCCATATAAGTTAACAATCACAATTTAAATCTCAAGAAATTAAAAAAAAAAAAGTAAAAAATAAAAACACACAAAGGATAAAAAAATTCTTTCATTTTTATCCCTAATTCAGTTTTCACTTTCTCTCTCTAGTATCTCCCGCTATTTCCTCCCACTTACCTTTCCCGGCAAAAACACACACACACGCACACACAAAACACACTGTCACACACTCACATTGTCTCTTCATTCTCACGATCCCAACAAATCCAAACAAAACGACAGAAAAGAATGCAAAGCGCGTCTATTTCTTCCTCCCTCCTCCATCCGTCGGAGGTCCGCTACAGGGATCAACTCGCTCGCTATCCGCCCAGCAGGACGGCTGCGGTGCAGAGATGCCCCGTTCCCGTCACTCGCGGTGGCTTCTTCCTCAGGCTGGCACCAGATCCCGATCGGGTGGTCGATGAAGCGGAGTGTGTTGTTTTCGGGCCCGGGATTTTTCGATTTTGGACCCGGGTTGGGCCGCGCGGTGGCCCAGGCGGCTGCGGAGGAGGACGCCGGAGCGGCGGCGAGCCCCAAATCAACGGGCCTTGCGGATGCTTTGGTGTTGGGAACGCTCTTCGTCCTTTGGTTCACGTTTAATGCTTACTTCAATATCTTCAACAAGGAGGTGGATATTGTGAATATGCCTCATTTCATTCTCTACTGTGTTTTCTGCTAGTTTTAAATACACCTCTGCTGGAAATGTAGGCGATGGTTGAATTATTGTTGTCTGTTGCCTTGTGTCTTGTTATGAATTGATGCGAGTTCCTGCTGTGTACTGGGAATTTGGTTGTGCTAGTGCTTGAATTGTCAATTATAGACTGCAAAATTTTGATATATGGACGTATTGTTGGGATCTGTGAGGATCTCGTTATGTACAAGTCACGAATTTAATAGCAAACGTAAACCTATGCGCAGCGGATCTAAAGGTTTGACGTAGAGAACTTACGGCTTAAAATTTATGTAGATCTGGTTGACCACGAACGGTTGACCGCAATTGATTGACCGCAAATCACGTCTTGGGTTGCACGAACAAGATCAGATCAAAATCGGATCAAACGGATGCAAACAGATCAAAACGAAACTTTGCAGCCTGGGAGCTTCCGACGGTGCGTGAAGGCGCGTGAGGCATCGGACGGCTGCGATCTCGGCGGCGATGGAAAGCTCTCGTCGAGACGGTCGTCTGGGTATGCTGTACGTCTCAATCGGACTTCTGATTAGTTCTGTAGGTCAAAATATATTTCGTCTCAGTTTACCTACAAATCTTCTACTATATTACTCAATACACTCTTCTTCTACTTGTACCAGTGGAGCAACAAGAAGAAGATAAAGCTCGAAAGAGATCTAGAGAGAGAGAGAGGTGTGAGGCGTGTCTCACGTTAGAATGAGATTTCTATTCTCTTCTCATGAGCTTAATGATGTATATATAGAGCTACAGTAGGGACGCTTAAGAGATTAGGAAAAGGTCTTTAATTAATTAGACTAACTGTGGGCCAAGTCCACTCCTCTAATTAATTAAATAATATTAATGGGCCACCAACATTATATTATTGCACTCACTTTTCCTAGCCCAAATTACATTTGAGACTCCAATAATAATTACTCGATTTACCTCCCCACGTTTAAGATATAATGTCCATTAATTAATTCGATTACTGACAATCATGAATTAATTAATTTATTTATTATTTCACCAAAGCTAACGCTCGTCCATCACATTCTTATTATGCCGGAACTTAATCCACCTGCAGGGTTTAGTATAACAATCCTTCATGAACTCACTCCGGGGACATCATCAAACTAACGCACATGGTGACCGTAAATATCCTAACAGCACATCCTATATATAATAATATTACCCAAAACAGTAGGAATATTAATCCAGCGAGCTGAACCTCACCCATGTGAATCAAAGTAATATATATTATATATATCTGTCTGTTTAATATCTTACGGGTTAAAAGAACGCAGTAATTAACCGAGGTCTAGTTCATTTACAACGATCAATATAAAATGAACTTTTCCTCTCTGGGATCTTGTTCAATACATAAATGTACTAGTGCAACTAATCAGTCAAGACAAACTGTACAGTTGACACTACAACCGTTCGGATGGAGTGTTCATGTCCATCTAGGTTGTGAACAACTATTCTTGTTCGCAAGTGACTGATAGAGTGATCTTCGGTTCGCCCGATGACGACCCACCCTATCTAAGTGCAGAACAACAAAATGTAGAACTTGTTTATTCTAACATGATTCTCATTCATAAAGGGTAAATGTGTAATAACATGCAAAGCCAAGCTTTCAGTATATAACACTAACACGTATGTTGAGGAATTTGAAGTTATAGACTGCAAGAAAAATGATATATGGATGTATGTTGAGGAATTTTATTTTTGCCATTTTTCTGCTAGGTGTCTTCAAGAAATTATTTCATTTTTTGAGTTGCAATGTTGAGCGCAGCATCTGCTCTTACAGTTTCTGACACTTGATCTACTTGGTCAATAATTTTAAAATAAACATAGTGAAATAGATAAATAATTGATTTGCCATAGCATAATGATAAAGTTTGTTTAAAGAGATAAACATAATTGAAAAAGATTGATATATTTAATTTACTATCAAACATGTTTATTAGATATACACCATTCTATTCATGAATTTGGTACCAAAATATTCCATTTGAAAATATTTACCCNTATTTCAAAAAAAAAAAAAAAAAAAAAAAAAAAATTGTTAAGGATCGGAAATGTAAAAAGGATAAATGGGTTTTTCACATTATTTACCAAAAAATAAATTTAATATTGCCATTAAAATCTCGCAGTTTTAAACAATAAAATCTCACATGCTTTTTGAAAGATATTTTGTAAACATCAAAGATGCACCAATTTTTATTTCAAAACCATTGATTTGAAATTAACTAACCAAAATCTAGATAAATTTGTTAAAAAAAAATCATAATCCATAATTTTAGGGTGTTATCAAATTAAAAAGTTGCATGGAGTTTTTTCCTTATAAAATGAAGTGTAATTGATTTGAATCAAAAAATTTTTTTCTAAATAATTGCAACCGAATTTGTTTAAAAATATTATGAAAGTTATTAATCACATGATATTAATGCAATCAAATTTGTTTCAGAATATCTTTGAAGTTATTTACCACATGCTTTAAAAAAAAATCCTTAATTAGTAAGTCAAACTATTTGATTTAAGAGTCAACCTTTCTATTTATGTATTTTTCTAGCAACCTTTTTATATAGTTTATAGATATAGATTAGTCAAGATCTTTTAACATACTAGTGTGAATGTCGTGTAGTGCATGGGTAAGAGATATTCATTAATATTTATAAATTAAAAATTCTTACTAAATAATACCTATAAATTAAAAATTATAGAATATATGTAATACAATTTACCTGTATTTATTTCTTGAAAATGTTATATAATGTTTAAATTGTGCAAAATTACATAAAAATATGTATTTAAAATTATTACACAACCCGTACGGTGCATAACTGATAATAAATTATATTATATTTGTTTCAAAATAAGTGTCATTTTAAAATTTTTATTCATAAATTCAATTTGACTATAATGTGATTCCATAAATAATTATTGTTGTAAAATTTTATCATTATTTTAACAACCTATGTGAATAATAAGTATAACTATAAAATTTATATTATTTCATTAATTAAAATAAATTTATTTTCGTATAAATTATTCAGATAAAAAAAATTAAGTAGTTGAGTAAATTATTAAACTATAAATAATTGACTATGTAGTTTACGTCCAAATTAATATTGACCCGTAAGTTATGAATAAATATTTTTTTTTATTTTTAATTTTAAATAAAGATATTTTTATTTTTTAATATATTATATATCAAATTTAAATCATGCAACTAATAAAGGTAATAGCCGCAATATTTGACAAAAATAATTTTTTACATTAATTATATTAATTTAGGCGGAATTTTTAAAATTTTGCCCAAAAAATTACCAAATTTCGTAAATCTGAATTTTTAGATGGGAAGCCAAATGTTTTTTTATTGAATTTCAATTACTATTTTAAGTAAATATCATTGTCTCTTTATATATTAATAGATTAACTTCAAAATGTACGTGATTGAGAAATTACTTGGCACATTTCAGACTACTTCAATGTAATGATATAGAACAACACATGGGTAAATGCATTATTTTTAAATTTTTTAATAATACATTTACACTTGGGTTGTAACGCAAACGCAATTTATCATCTAAATGGGCAAAATAGCATTTTAAATATGGCAATGTTCGTTTACGATTCCCGTTTTGGGCTTGCAAAATTTCTACACAAAACAAATCTTTAGTTACATAATCAACCATCAATTTTTAAGGTAGAAGGGGCACTAAATTGAAACAAATATCAAAAATCGTGATTTGTAGGGCGCAGGTTAGAGGAACAATAAAGGGAGCTTAGGGAGGAGAAAACGAACAAATTCAACCGCTAATTTTACAATGTGACCTCTTCTCGACAAAGAAAAAGGATATGCGAATATAATAATTGATCACATGACCACAGGAATAAGGACAAAATTCAGTGTAATCTTTGCACAAATTATAGAGCGCACCTAATTAAGGAACATAAACAGCGTAATCTTACTTGATTTCTCGTTGAATAAATTTATTATTCTGTTTTTTCTTTATTCTTTATTTATTTCAAGCATTTTTCATTGACTAATCATCACAATTGGACGTGTTATTCATATTGACTAATCATTACTAATGGTGCGATTCTAATTGACCGATCATAAATAGAAATGTTTCATGGAAGTTAAATTAAATAGACGGCCAAAAAGAAATGTTTTTGTTCATGTCCGGAATTTTTGCTCCCTTTTGTATGCAGNCTTTTTTTCATTATTTTAATTCCTTTGTTTTTAAGGGATGCATAAATACATTTTCCTTTATTTTGTTCGTGTTTGGAATATCTCCTCCCTGTCGTTCGATGACTAGAAGTTAATCCTCCATTAATTACCCTATTAGCTCATGCGATTGGCCTAAAAATAAGTTAAAAGAATTCTTAACAACTATATTATCCACTAAGCTTTTTTTATTTATTAAAACTCTAGTTTAAATGCCCAATCACTTATTCCAACATATATCACTTGAAACGTTAGGAAATAATTGTGCTTTAGAAAGGTAAATTGCCTTATAAAGGTAATTCAATTGTTAGATTTCTTTTCACTCATTTTATTATAAGAATTGGACAACTCGTAGATTAGACTGAGAACTTTGATTTATATATAATAAGATAAGTTCCTTTTCATAAATTTCATTTTCCTAAATTCCCAGAGAGACAATTCTTAGTAATATTTTAAAATGTAATATTTTCTTAGAATAATGCACAATTCTTAGTAATATTTTAAAATGTACAGAGAGACAATAGATGAAAAAAGAGAATTACTTTTTAAGAAACATATAAAATGATAATATTATGTGATATTTTGTAAGTTATAAACAAATCATTTATATGCGAAGAAAATAATGTTAACTTGACAAAATATGAGTGTTTTTAATTGATACAAAATTAATCTTTATATATCGATCAATCATATTATTATAAGTGTGATAATATTATTATAAGTGTTTTCAATTGTAAGGCCGACAAATTTTGTTAATTTTGTAATCTTAAAGTTAATAAACGTTATGGAACAACAATGGATTTTGATGCAGCGTGCCTGTGATGGGAGAATGAAGAACACAAAGAAACTGTTTTCTTTTTTGGATTAATTCAATTCGATAATGCATAACTGACAGAATAGACAATCCCCATCAGTTTTAATACAACAAGTCCTAATCATTTAAAGTCCAACTAAAACAAGCCTAAAGTCCAAATAAATAAGTCCAACACACAACATAAATAAATATAAACGTAAATAATAGCAATAAATATAATAACGTTCACACTAAAGACCAGAGTCGATTATGTGTGTCGAGAAATGCCAACACTCTCGTCGACATCATTCTCCCCCGATTAGAAAGGATTCGTCCTCGAATCCGCACCACTCTCGTCGACATCATAATTTAAATGACATTTTTTTTATCGTTAAATGTAAATATATAGATCAAAACTGAGTTCAAACAACCGATTTACGGCATACAAAAGCGTAATGGGCAACCACAAGTCGATTCCTCATTCGCGAGATATAGATATACGAGGTCTGTCTATGGAATCTTTTCCATACCTAAACAACCAATCTCCGAAGCCTTTCAGAGACATTTTTTATTGATATAAGGATGAGCAGTATAGGAAATTCTAACAAAATTAATAATTACATTTTAAATTTTAAAACATAGTATTTNACTAAATAATTTTTTTATAAAGACATATAGTTAATAGCAAAGACATAAAGTTGTAATTTTGGAATTAAAAAAAAAAAGAGAGAAATAATGTGAAAACTGTGGGAGAAATGATGTGTGATAATTTTAAATTTTAAACTGTAGTATTTTGAAACCAAAAATCAAAATATAATGTTAGAAATGTGGTAGGAAACAATATGTATCTAGTAAAGTTATTTAATTAAAAAAAAAAACCATTTTTATTTGTTCAGTGAAATTCCACCAATCAAGCAATCCATCATATTTAGTTGATCAATGTCAGCTAAAAAACGTGTATTCTTCACTTATGGGAGTTTTGTATTTTCTACCTGTGAGAGTTTTTTATTCTTTTGTATTTGGTTTTTGTAGTGTGTTTTGTGCTGTTTAGACTACTTTGAGTAGTCTTTCTATTCTGAGTAGTTAGCCGAATGTAATTATGTATTTTAGTTAATGAATTTACTGTTAAAAAAAATGCCATTTAAAATCAACAAACTGGGACACATAACTTAAGGGTCTTACCAATTTTAACCTTCAAACAATTTAAATGTTACAAGTACAACTTGTGCTGATTTTCATTTACCATTTTGGCTTGCATAGTGTTTTTCACTATGTAACTGCTTAGGTAACATCTAGGTGCATAATTTTCAGTCGGGCTACCCAAAATACCAAATTTCTTCTATTTATCCATCATAGACTCTGAAGATGTAAAATTCTGGTTTTTAATGTATTTTTATTTATATATTTCTTTTTTTGTTCACTTAATAGAATGTAGTTCATCATGTCCAGCTAGGCCCCTATACACTGTAACCTTTACTAAAAAGACTTATCATCGCACAAGAAAAACATTGTACTTGAATTCCATAATTTCCGTTTTGATACTTCAATTTCACTCTTGTATTAATTTAGTAATGATCCCCGTCAGATTTATTTTGAGACATTTTGCTAAACCAATAGCTGGGTTAATTTGGTACTTAATTTATGTTCCAAATTAAGTTAGATCGTATTTCTTATGAGTTATGTTGATAGCATAAAGTCATAAACTAAGAAATTCAAGATAGTGACCCACCCGTGTGAACTGGGACGTGACGTTAGGCTTATCACATCACATGTCCCCATATTTTGATAAATCAATATTCAAATGATTTCTCGAATATTTTCAAGTTGTCTTGTATCATTGAATTTTACCAAACCCAAACCAGCATGTCATCTTAAAATAATACTCCTCTAGCTTGTTTTCAGACATTATTTAACGGAATTTTGAAAATAGATTAACAAAAGTTACGCCAATACCACGAAGTCAAAATTAATAAGTACCGTTTTTCAGAATAATGGAACTGATGTGTAGAGTTTATTAGTAGTTTAGAATAATGGAACTGATGAGTATATATATATAGAGTTTATAAGGGCGTGAGTGGATATAAAAATATTCATCTAAAATTCAATACCAACTCAAAATTCAACATAATTTTAATTTAATCCTACTATTTTAAATATTATTAATATAGTTAAATAATATCAATGAATCATCCTTAAACGTCACATTAATTTTAATTCACTATTCATCACTCACATAATTTTAATTAACTATCACTATCAATAATATCTCTTCTACTTTTGCACCAAATTAATTTTTAATAATTTTATTTTAAATATTATTTAACATAAACTTAAAATCCCACTAAAAAATATTCAAACAAACTTTTTTCAAAATTAATTCTATTTTAAAAAAATCAATCAAAACTAGATATATCTATATTCACTCGCGCTAATTAAGCATGCATCTTGTACTTAAAAAAATAATTATAATTAACTAGCCATCAATTATTATTGCTGCTTATTTTTTCAATTCACCAATTATACCCTTAATCTACCAAATTACTCATACCCGGCCCACCTGACAATACAAGTTTGCACATGATCAATATTTTTTACCATAACAACAATGCATCCTACTTGTAAATATCCTGTGCACATGCACATATGTACATAAAATATTATAAGTAATATTTGAGAATTTAATATTAAAATTTTAGATAATGAACATATTACATTTTTAAAATTTAATTATTAAAAAAATAAATTAATAATTGTTTATTATTATGAACAATTGTTTATCATTAGATAATAGCAGTTTGATTATTATTATTATTATTATTATTATTATTATTATTATTAAAAAAATAATTGTTTATAAGATTCTAAAGTTGTTTGACTATGCTATTAAAACACTAATTGTTTTTGAAGAAATTTTTTCATGAGATACAAAAGAAAAAAAATAATACTGATGTTAAAATAAATAACTTGAAACAAATGTTTATAATTATACAATTTATATTTATTGTGAATAATTATATGTTGGTATTAGCATTAACTATTATATAATATAATAGAAAAATACATGATTACACTCAATAGGATGTATTAATGCGAGAAGTAAAAAACAGTAATGATAAATTTTGTAACCGAAAATGGAACGAAAATTTTAGAGGTTTTATTAAATAGGTTTTCTTAAATGCTATTAGCTAGTAATTATATATATGTATAGAGATATGAACTTTTATTATTTTCTATTCACTGATGGTGCTTCAGAGTAATTTATCATATTTAAACTTTTATTCATGTCTATTCATACTTTCAAAATTATAACATGATTAACCAACTTAACTTATACATATGTTCCAATGCTTAATGATATTTTTATTTGTTGAAAGTTAACATATATAAAAGTTAAATTCATCATATTTTGACGGTCTTCTATTTCACTTTATATTGCACACATAAAATTAAAAAAACAAATAATTATATAAATTTTAAATTATATACGTACCAATCATAGTTAGAAAATTATAATTTATCTATTATTATATTATATGAGGTTGAAATTTTTTTATAATATAGGCTGAATTTTACGTGTGAGATTAAAGTCATAATAAAAATAACAATATAATTACTCAACTAACACATAAAATTTGTATTTATTTTTTTATTTAACTTTTTTAACTACTCAACTAGTACTAGTAGTGTTATTGTTCACTAATCCTCCCCTTTTTC